TGTCGCCCGTGGGCAGCTTCTCGCTGTGCGTGGAGGCGCTGCTGCTGCTCTACGCCGTGCTGCACCTGCCGCTCTACCTGAGCGTGCTGCTGGGGCTGGGCTGCTCCGTGCTCTTCGAGGCGCTGGGCTACCGCTTCCGCGACGAGCGCTGCTTCGCGCCCCCGGGCGACCGGCTGGCGCACTGGGAGCTGCTGGGCAAGGCCCTGTTGCACCTCTGCATCCACGCCACCGGCGTGCACCTCTTCATCATGTCCGAGGTCCGCTCCAGGAGCACCTTCCTCAAGGTGGGGCAGTCCATCATGCACGGGAAGGACCTGGAGGTGGAGAAGGCCCTGAAGGAGCGCATGATCCACTCCGTCATGCCCAGGATTATCGCTGACGACCTGATGAAGCAGGGGGACGACGAGAGCGAGAACTCGGTCAAGCGCCACTCCGCCTCCAGCCCCAAAAGCCGGAAGAAGAAGCCTTCCATACAGAAGACTCCCATCGTATTCCGCCCCTTCAAAATGCAGCAGATAGAACAAGTCAGTATTTTGTTTGCTGATATCGTCGGCTTTACCAAAATGAGTGCCAACAAATCTGCGCATGCCCTGGTGGGCCTCTTGAATGACCTCTTTGGCCGCTTCGACCGCCTCTGCGAGGACACAAAATGTGAGAAGATAAGCACTTTGGGGGACTGTTACTACTGTGTGGCAGGGTGTCCTGAGCCCCGAGCGGATCACGCTTATTGCTGCATTGAGATGGGCTTGGGCATGATCAAAGCCATTGAACAGTTTTGCCAAGAGAAGAAGGAGATGGTGAACATGAGGGTTGGCGTGCACACCGGGACTGTCCTTTGTGGCATTCTGGGAATGAGGAGGTTTAAGTTTGATGTCTGGTCCAATGATGTCAATTTGGCCAACTTAATGGAACAACTGGGCGTCGCTGGGAAGGTCCATATTTCAGAGGCTACTGCAAAGTACTTGGATGATCGCTATGAAATGGAGGATGGAAAGGTGATGGAGCGCGTGGGCCAGAGTGTGGTGGCAGACCAGCTGAAAGGTATTTTTCTGTTTCTGCTTGTGAATGTATTGATTTGCTTTGGACCTTAGCCTTTTCCTTCTTCTGTGCTAATATGGGCAAATTGGGACCAACTTTATGTTTTTCTTTAATAACTGAAACCCGCAATGTAAACTTAGGACCTCTGTCCTTCATGATTCTTTGAAGAGACGCTAAGGATGAGGGAGGTGTGCCTGGCAATTGGAATGCCTTCTGGTTTCCAGGTGGAATTTTAACTAACTGATAATTATTTTATAGCTTGTGACATCATGTAACTTACTCTACGGTGTATACTTTCATAATGGATTAATATGCAGGTAAATCACATGATTTTTTGTAAAAGAGATGACCACTTTGTAAGAAAAAGGAAGCAGGGAAATGCTTGATGCCAGCTTCTTTGGGGCAGGTGAATTGTTCTTAGGATTCTATGAATGGACATGTTGTAAACTGCCAGAAGTTGGTATGAAGTCAGCAGAATAAAAGTATAATAAATAAATTATGAAAAATTGCATTCTAGATGGAGGAACAACTTTTAATATTGGTATCTTTACCACATGAATGAGAGAGTCAGGCAGTTGTGCTTGCTGGTTCTTTCTCATACCAATCAGGAGAAAAATACTGTGACATTACATGTTTGATAGTAAATTGTAGTAGTTGTTTTATAGAGCAAGTATTTCCTGCTTTTTTTTAACATTCAAGCATTTTCAGTTCTATAACCATTGTACATTCTTTTGTGATCTTATAGTAGGGAAGAAGGCCTGATGTTTTTCTGTTCAGTATGCATTTTAATTGGGTGCTTGTATAGAAGTTGAAAAATTATTCAGAGAAAGTAAATAATCAGAACATTATGCTTTAGTTTCTCTTAATCATGTTTAGGAGTTGGGAAACAAAACAAAACTGAATGTGAACCAGAATAAAGGATTTGAAGTTGTCTACATTAATAATTTTATAAACAAGACCACAGAGTATTGAGATAAATATGACTAATGGGTGAGGCTGGAGTAAAAGATGCCATAAAGTACACAAAAATCCATCTTTCTTCAGCAGTTACTCCATCTTTCCTCTGGTGAGTTTTCTCCATCTGGTGCAGAGAGCTAGAAAAGAAGAAGTCAATAGTTAAGGAACAGATTTTGTTTGTTGCCACGTGGGTTTCAAATAGTGACCCATGTTGTGTTTGACAGTATCATCAAATGCCGCAACTTGTGAACACTTGTCCTCATTTTGATGCAATTGTGGATGCTGCTGAGTTTCCCTTTTTAAAATGTAGCAATTCAAGCACTTCTGGTTCCATAGAAGATAGAGGCCATGTGTGTTTTCAGCTTTCTACTGTATATGTGTTGTTTCCTACTCCAGATTGGTATTTGTGCTAAACTATATCAGATGCTATTGCTATAAGGACAACTTTTTTTAAGGAAAGCCCAAACTTTGATTATAGTTTATTATACTTCATTATACTCAGTAACTGCCTGGAAATGTTCACATTTCCCAGGCATTTCTGTGTTTTTCTTGTAGTATTTTTATTTTGTGCTCTCAATACAGGTAGTCCTCACTTACCGACTGCAATTGGGATCGGCAATTCCGTTGCTAAGCAATGTGGTCGTAAAGTGAAACATTACGTGACTATGCCTGACTTATAACGTCAGTTCATCAGTTCCAACTGCAGTTGTTAAGTGAATCACCCATGGGCATTAAGCGTGATATCACATGACTACGACTTGCAACTTCCTGCTGTCTTCCCCATTGACTTTGCTTGTTGGAAGCTGGCTGTGAAGGTTGCAAATGGTGATTGTGGGATGCTGCAACCATTATAAATGCACATTGGTTGCCAAGCGCCCAAATCATGATCATGTGACCATGGGGATGCTGTGATGGCAAGTTTGAGGACCGGTCGTAAATCTTTTTCAGCACTATTGTAACTTTGAATGGTCACTGAATGAGCGAGGACTACCTGTATTCCCATGGCAGCAAGAACAAACATGATATAAAGAATTTATAGTACAATCAGGAAAAATCCTAACCATACCCATATGTTCTTGTATATTATTCTATATATTGTTGTTGTTCAGTCGTTAAGTCGTGTCCGACTATATATTATTAGATGATAAATAGTAACCTTTGGGGAAATGGCTGGAAGGTGAATACGAGCAATTATGTAGGCCATGTCAGCTAACTTGGCAGTAAGTGTGTTTAGTAGAAATAATAAAAAATGTTTTATCTGTACAATATCATGAAAATCTACAATTTTTCGTCATTAATATCAGTTTGGCATTAGCAGATTGTTAACTCAGATAATCTAGTTAAAATAAATGCCCTCATTTCATTGAAAATTGTAAATAGATTTAATATCAGATGGTATCACAGCAATGAAAAACTGGCTGAAAGGCAGTTCTGCCCCCTCATAACCTTTATCTCTCCTACCTAGAGTAATGAAACAAGTCCTCAAATGTGTTAAATTCTGTGTGGATGATGTCAGTATATTGAATATTTTACACACCCCAGTCCAGAGAATGTTTTTTCCATGGTGTATCTTGCCTAATTTTTTAACCTTCAAGTTGCCATGAGACTCATTTCCTTGACTAACCAACAACTACTAACAAACACAACTAGAGCTTCTCTGGACATGGCATTAGATGGAAAGTTTCCATGTAAAATGTGCATGGGGTTTTAGATTTAAAAAATACACGGTCAACGTAAGCATCTGATGTGCAGATCCATACTGCTAATACAGCTAAGATGCACATTCTCACTCTGCTCTTGTGCAAAACTATGGAAGTTGCCTGGGAGAGAAAAGTCTTGCAACCATTCGATTGATTGATTGATTGATTGATTGATTGATTGATTATGTGCCATCAAGTCATTGTCAACTCGTAGCGACCACATAGATTTTCTCCATGGCAACCTGTCCCTAACCTAGTGTTTCAAGTCTGTTCATTTGATACAGAGTGCCTTTTGGAAGTTGATATTCACAGTGTCAATGAAATAGAGTGCTCTCAAATAAAACCAAAGTATGTACGGTATTTAAAAATTCTAAAATACTGCTGGGTTATATTGCACAATCCTATTTTTTTGGAGCTGGCCAAGCAATTTATAAAATGCAGATTTGTTGCTAAAAAGTGGATTTGGCTGTTTCCGAAGGAGAAATGAGTCATATGAACAGCTGGCTCTGCAGGCAGTGTTGGCAAGGGATGTGGGGTGGCCAGCTGTAATAAACAGCTCTTTGGAGAAAGGAGCTCTACAGGTAAGTTGGGGGGAAGTGTATAGTGGAAGAGTAACAGCAGATATGTTAACTGTAGTTTTCCTGTAGGTTTAAAAACATACTTGATCTCTGGGTTGAAAAAGAAGGAGACCCACTGCAGCTGCTCACAGACGCTTCTTCCAGGTCTAGAAGCAGGAGACAGAAACAAGCCACAGGGGGCTTCATCGTCAGAGAATGTTGACGATTCAGCAAAAGCACTCAAGCACTTAGAGAAAAATAAGGTTTGCCAAATGCAAATTCTGTATATTTCTGTGGGTTTATTTTATTAGAAATGAGTTTTAAAAGCCTACATGGGCTTGGAAAGTCTTGGAATTATATACTTTTATCTATGGTTACTGATTCTTTAAGAAGACAGATCATGCTTTATTTTTTTCTCTGGAAGTCATAAGATGAGAGGATCTAGATTATGATTTGTCTGTGAGAAACTTGGTTTAAATCTCACTCAGCTTAGGAGCTCTTGTGTTAAGTATGGAAGGTACCTAGTACAGAGTTGGAAAATGCTGTTCTAAGCATTCTGAGAAAGAGCAAGCAAGCAGATGAAATGAAGGGGCAAGGATCAGGGCTGTGAGCTTTGCACGAATACATATATTGGATTGAGTGAGTGACGTGAAGTCATTAAATGCAGGGGAGAAAAAATGCTTCCTAGCTGTTCAGATTGGCCTGTTTTTGCAAAGTGTGTATAAGAGCATTTCTTCCAAAAAGGTAGGTATTCACTTTTCCAGTATTTATAGAAAAATTATAATTGGTTTAATCTGTTGGTGTATACAGAGGGGAAAGGACAGAGAGAGCTGCTGAGTGCTAACTGTGCCTCCTCACGTGTACCATAACTTCCTTCCATTCCTGAGTGCACTTAATTTTGTTCTGAAACATTTAAGGAAAGAAAAGTGTCATGTGTAGACACTGGATATCAGCCCGGGAGTTACAAAATATATACATTTGAAGAACGTACACATATCTGCAGCAGAAGCAGGCCAGTTGTGAAAGGAGGAATTAGTCTTACAGTATGTTTCTTTGTGGTTTCAGGTCTGCCATTCATGCAGTGCTACTTTTTCCCCTGGCTGTGATGTGAGTGTAGAGGAAGGAGCTATTCAAAACGGATGCCAGGATGATCATAAGACCAGCACAAAGGTAATTTATTGTCAAGTTACGTACTTCTCTAGCTCTTCTCTTCGTTCATCTATGGTGCAGAAACTGATGTGGGTCGGTCCTGGGGTGAGACAGACTTCAAAGGCAGTTAGCATAGAGTTGCAGGACCGGAAGCTTTTGCAGCACAGGGTACACGTAACCCTTTAACCTGAGATGGCCTTCTAGCCCTTGCTTAGATATCACAAGGGCATGGAGGTTATCACTTACTGAAGCATTCCAGGGTCAAACACTTTCCTTCTCAGGACCGGTATGTATGAAATTTGTTCTTGGATGATCTAAAGAGCACTATGACATATAGTTGGCTACTTTTTTGTACATGGGCCCTTTGCTATGCTATCTTGTAAGTTGGGCTATTTATAGTGCACTTTATATACTTTATATATATAGTGCACTTTATAGCACCATTAATTGGTGTTTGTGTAACTCCTTTTGTTTCATTTTTTGGTGCTGTACAGGCATCTTAACAGTTCTTTTTCTAAAGAGTTGGAATTTCAGCCTCTGGAAGTATGGCTTTTTAGATTCCTAACTTTTTTATACCTGAAAAGATAAATTGTACTTTATTTAGTTTTTGTTTAAAATGCCTTTTCTGTAGCTTTTAAACAAACATTAGCATTTCCCTTTTCTAAACATTTGTTGGCCAGGGCATTCAAGATTTTGTGAGCATAAAGGGCTAGAGAGATCTGAATTCAAACTCCTGTTTGCTCAAGAGTGTCAAATACCAGCCTTAGGTAAACCATTCTCGGCTGCCTCAGAGAAAGTTCTGAAGGTGAAATCAAGTGTGTGCCAACTAAGCTACTTTAAAAAAAAGTGTATCTCATTTGAACCCACCTTTGGAACCCCACATGGTGGTTATAAAATGATACATGGCATCATTCAAAATTTTATACTTTTGTTAATTTGATCTGGTTTGTTTAAAAGCAACATCTTTAATAATTTATTGGCTGTACGTTTCTTTTTTTAAATCTTGCAAGTGCTGTTTTTTACACTCAAAAGTATAACAAAATCTTTGAACTGAGATATTTTTTCTGCCAAAATATACTCGCAGGAACAGACAAATATGATCTGAATTCTCTGTGACTTAATCATAAACCACTTTTATCTTTATCTTTTTAACTCAATCAGAGTCCTGGGGGAGGCAGCCCAAAGTCTCGGAATGGACTTTTAAGTCCCCCTCAGGAGGAGAAACTGAGCAACAGTCAAACATCCCTTTATGAAATGTTGCAAGAGAAAGGAAGATGGGTTGGTGCGAGCTTGGATCATTCAGCTCTTCTGCCACTGCGGTTCAAAAATATCAGAGAAAAAACAGATGCTCACTTTGTTGATGTTATTAAAGAAGACAGGTAAGGCAAAGAATTCTCATGACTTGGACATTTGCTCTGCACAATGGCGTGATGGCCACCCATGATGTAGGCAGGTTCCACAAGATTCAGGCATATTTGGGGGGGGATGAGGCCAACTTTCCCTGAGTACCATATGCTGAGGGATCCCCCTTGCCCTCTTGTCTTGCTTATCACTTCCTATGGGGTAGAAAATGAAGGTATAATAAAAATCTAAGCACCAAATGACTTGGAGACTGTATCATGGCTCCCCCATGAGCTCAGTCGAAAAGCTATAATCATGGCAGGACTTAGGGAGTTCTTGCCATCCCTAACAAACTTCAGGTGTTTAACCTCTGTGTGGCAACTGGTGTAATGCATCAGGTCTTTGGTTGGGGTGCCACTGCAGGCCTTCTTGGGATTTGGGAACCCTTACGTCAGTGATAGTGCTGTCTCTGTGTTGCTGGCTCAGCTGATGGGATTGTTTTGAGGACTTTCATTCTCTTCCCTGCTCATTCCCTTTCCCCATCTGAAGACTTCTATGGAAAATGCAGGGATTCAGACAACATGACTGACCAAGCCATCTAGTCCCAGGGCAGTTAACTCACCTTTGTGCCCCAGCATGCATGGTCACCGCCAAAGATTGGGTCAGTTGTACAGTGGATGTTTTCTAGGACTTCCTAGCAATTGCAGGGTGATTGTGAACCTGCTACTGGGAGAAATGTTTTAAACACCATGTCAGCACAGTTGGGGTTGTTGCCACTGCAGTCAGCTTGGGGGCTTACCTACCTCACCATTTTCTGCCTCTTTTCTACTCTTCTAGCGTGCCAGTTGGGGGGAGAGGATAAAGAAGAGAAAGAGGGAGTTCCTAGAGAAACCTGGTTTTGCAGAGCCACTCTAGGACTTCATCTCTGTTATTTAAGAGACAGTTAACCCTTGGGTAATCTGTTCACAGTGCAGTTGACTGGGGCAGTTAGCTTAGCCCTAAGCAGTAATTCTTTTTTATTTGGAGGGTTAATACAGCACTCTTCTTTCCCCAAACCCAATTAAGGATGGGCCAATAGTTAGTATTTCAATGATTTCTCAAATGGGGCTGGGGAATCATTGTTTCTTTGTTGGAGAATAACTTTCCTAAAATGGATCTTTTCCCTAGCTTGATGAAAGACTATTTTTTTAAACCACCTATTAACAAGCTGAGCCTGAACTTCCTTGATCAGGATTTGGAGATGGCCTACAGGAGCAGCTATCAAAAAGAGGTAGGGTTTTTTTGTGTGTGTGTGTCTATGTGCATGCAGGCACACATTCTAGTAGTATCTGAGGAACAGCCTGCACATTAACAAAATGCCAAGCATTGTTATTTTTAATTAAACATAATTTTAACTTTTCATATTGGCTGGGGAGAGATGGCTGTCCATTTTCTACACTAATATTGCCTCTTAAAGAAAAGAAGCTGGGTTTGGGAGTCTGGCAATCACTTTTGATCCAGACCTTGTTTGAAGTAATTTTAACCAAGTGTTTTTTGTCTCTGTTTTTGCCATTAGTGGGGGGATGCCTTTGAAGGAGAAATTGAAATTGCGGTGTCCAGAATGGCTCATGTCTAGAGTGTCCAAGCAGGAACATGTAACACCTATTTTGATAAGCTGCATTGGCTTCAAGTTGCCTTCCATGCCAAATTAAGGAGCTTGCTATGATATGTAAACATTCAGGCCCTTCCTACTTGAAGCATATAAATTAACGAAGTAAATAAACAAAACCTTTTTGTCCTGCTCTAGCATTTCAGTGCTTCGTATGAAACTCTGTCTGATAAAGTCCTGCTTTTTATTCCAGTATTACCCCAAGGTTAAAGAATCATCCACTTCTGCAGGAGACTCCCTACCCTTCAGGCCACTAAAAACTGTATTGTTGTCACTGACTCCAGCTCCCTTGTGTGCAAATGGAAGGATGGCTTCACATGTAAATTTGGGCTCAGATTTGCAAACTCCCCCAAGTATGTTTTTCATTAAGATAATACTTTATTTTACAGATTGTCACCCTGGAAACAGCCCCTGTTGTGATTGTTTCAAACTGTAGTCCTGTGTCACTTCTTTGCACTTCTGTATGCACCAAGGAGACATAAGTTAGCTTTTTCCCCAATCATTCCATATATAGTGGGCAAATCTGCACTTCTGTTTGCATACAAGAGGTCTGAAGATAGTCAAAAATATAGTTAGGGTTTATATATTGGAAGGTCTGGGTATAAACAGAAAGTAGTACAGTGGCCTATCCCTCAGCTATTCTAAGTAACCGTCCATGACTTTTATAATAGCCTCGTATTATGGAGAGGTTATGGGGTTAGAGGTTTCTCCTAAAGTGGTTTCAGGCATAGTTTCCTCTAAGAGTCTAGGCTTGGTTTGTTGTACTCACTTGTTCCTCTCTTACTGATCGTTTTCTTTCTGGTGGCTTTTTAGAGATCTGATCTGAGAACTGCTGCTCTATTTCAGTAATATTTCTTTTTCTAAAGTAGAGTGCAAAATACCTTTATAAAGAGTAGAGGCTGTATCTGGATCAGATTCTGAAAATCTAACCCAAAAACAGTGTTGGTTTGGGTGACTTCTGATTTTCTGCGTTTGATGTTGGGTTGCTAGCGTTTGCACTTTGTAGAAATCCATGCATGGCCAGTCAACATCAACCTCGCTCTCCACAGGTCATAAAAAGGGTCCCTGTGAAGACCTTTGCCAGCGCCACCTTTAGTTCACTTCTAGATGTGTCCCTGTCCGCCACTGTCTTCCTTATCCTCTCGGTCACTTGCTTCCTGAAACACGGGGCAGTGGCATCTCCTCCTCCTCCTGCAGCCGTGGCTGTGGTGGTGGTTGCCGTCCTGCTCGAGGTGGTCTCTCTTACGGTCTCCATTAGGTGAGGCAAACGCTGTATTTGTCATTCCTCTGTCACCGCCGGGGATCCCTTACCGGGTATGGATGAAAGCGAATAACCCCCGGGTGTGTTAGAGAGGAGTCAACAAAATCTGTAAAAATATCCCAGCAGGCCTTTGCCCATTCTAAAGAAGCTGACGCTGGCTGCAGATTGTCTCAGCTCCAGCCTAGGGGCCCTTGGGGCCCTTGGAATCCCTTCCACTGTAACTGCTTTGGCCATTCCTCATCTGCACATGAGCATGGGAAAAGAAAGGGGGGGAAAGGTGGCTGGGCTGCTGACCTGATTTTGGAAGGAGGGGGAAGAAGGCTCAGTCAGTCTGCTTCTGTTCTAAAAGCTTAGCTGTTGTGTCTGCTGTTTCCAGAATGGCGTTCTTTTTGGAGGACATGATGGTCTGCACCAAGCGGCTGTTGGAAGTGATTGCTGGGTGGTTGCCCCGACACTTCATTGGTGCCATTTTGATATCTCTACCTGCTCTTGCTGTCTTCTCACACTTCACCTCTGAGTTTGAAACCAACATCTATGTAAGTTGGCCTCGCCATAGGCTCTTGGTAGGCAAACAGACATTCAGAGTGAAGAATCACGGGGGTGATCTTTTAACCCAACTTCAAGTCATTGGAAGCTTTGTGCCTAAATGCCAAATCACATGCAGAACACTTCTTTTCCAGGAGGAGTGGAAACACGGGTTGGGGAAGGAAAAGGCCTGAAAGGGTAGTGACACCTCATGGCCCATTCCAGTCAACAAGATTAGCCCTGAGGAGCTTTACTTTTCAATATGAGAAACTTTGCTCCCAGTGCTGTGAGCCTAGAGGAGGGGTTGGCCTGCTGGTATTTTCATGTATATTTCTGTGTCTAAAAAGTCAGTGGATTCCAATTTGGAATGTGCCTTTCATAAAATACAGAACTGAACTTTTACATGGATTAGGTGATACTTCAGGCTGTGGTCTGACCACACTTGGAATCATGTATCTTCTGGAACAAGTCTACCCCTGACTTGTGTGTAAAAGGAAGCCCCTTCCCACCCAGCTCATAGTGAAACTGTGCATCTTCCACCAGGTACAGAGAGTAACAGACCTTGAAAATGACTTTAGGCAAATCCATGGAGGATTAAACGTTCCGTGGCTACTGTAACCTTGTCACATATTTTAACCCCGGAATTTTCTGAGAAAAAGTGTAATTTCTTAGCTACATCTGCTCAGTTGTTCAAGAGGCTGACTGATGATGTTTCCTTTGTTGCAGTCCACCATGTTTATGTGTTCTGCAGTTCTCATCGCGATAGTCCAGTACTGTAACTTCTGCCAGCTCAGCTCCTGGATGAGATCCTCTTTGGCTACTCTCGTTGGAGGGGTCCTGCTCCTTCTACTGTATGTGTCCTTGTGTCCTGCCAGGTGAGCCATGGCAAACCCACTGCATTCTAAAGGGTGCTAGAAGATCAAGCTGCCTTATCCAGGAAAGGTCCCTGGCTGCTGGAATGAACCAGGAGTGCTGCTGGGCTGCCCCTGGCCCTCTGCCGCTTGCTTCAGTAGAAGTGCCACGGTTTTTGGCAGTGGAATGCGCTTTCAGTTTTTTCTGTGAGGAAATAGCATCAGGGCGTGTATGTCTATGCATTGGAGCAAATACTTAACAGGGACTTGAAAAGTCATAGAGAAGATGTCATATTTTATGCCTATGTGCGATGTAGTTGCCCTTGTTTTGGTCCAGACTGTTGGCTTTTTGGTAATGTGAGTCTCTTACATTTCTGTTTCAGCTTTTTGGAGGAATCAAACCTTGTTTCACCAAGGAACGCAAGGTATGTATTCAACAGCTATTGGGCTTCATTGCATCTCAGCCACCAGTCTTTGACTTGTGTTCTCTAAGGATCCGAGGTCCTCTACTCTGACAGCTGAGAGTCAAAATAGAAGTGATCAAAATGAAAAAGATTTTGAAGAGTCTGAAATTTGGACTGTGGACCAATTGTTTCCTTTCTTTGAATCTCAGGATACGGTTGAGTTCCGAAGCAGTGAGATGGATTATTTCAAGCATGATATTTTTATAGAGAAATAACATTATAAAGCCAGATGCTGTTAAAGTGTCATGCCTGTATATTCAGGAGTCTCTCATTCACAGCACTGTGTGGTCAAACGTGTCCACATTCTGTTAAATGATAAGAGGGAGAAGGTGTAATGATCTGTGCTGCCATGCATTTTCTATATGTGTCAAGATATGTATCAAAATCTGGTGTTCTTACAATGTGTACGTCGCTCACTTGATTTAAGTAAATTCTCTTTGGAGTACGACTCCTGGTGACCTGGGGAAAAAACTCCAGGGATGTGTCCTTGAAGTTGGCATAATGCCACAGGTCCTCAGCCTACATGCCTGATGCCACTTGCTCACAGCAAATTCCACCTTCACAAGTAGTACCTTCTGTGCTAAAGCTGTGTTCCTTTAAAATGCTAATATATGTTCCTCTACAAACTAGATGATTTTAAGTGATCAACAGCACCTGTCTGGGATCCAAAACAGGATTATCTGAAGTTACATTTAAAATATGTTTTCTCTTTTTGTTTTGTTCCTCTCTCCCACCCCCACAAGCTTCATACAGAATGCCTGCAACAGATCGGCGTTGGATGACTTCAGGAGGCCGGCAGATCTGATTGGCCAAGAAGTGATTTTGGGTTTCTTCCTTCTCCTTCTCTTAGTTTGGTTCTTAAATCGGGAGTTTGAGGTGAGTTACCGTCTCCACTATCACGGAGATGTGGAAGCTGACCTCCACCGTACCAAGATTCAGAGCATGAGGGACCAGGCTGACTGGCTGTTGCGGAACATTATTCCATATCATGTGGCAGAGCAGCTGAAAGTGTCCCAAAGCTATTCCAAAAACCATGATAGTGGAGGCGTGATCTTTGCCAGCATTGTGAACTTCAGTGAGTTCTATGAGGAGAATTACGAAGGAGGCAAAGAGTGTTATCGAGTCCTGAATGAACTCATTGGGGATTTTGATGAGCTGCTGAGCAAGCCAGATTACAGTAGCATTGAGAAAATCAAAACCATTGGGGCCACCTACATGGCTGCCTCTGGGCTAAATGCTTCCCAGTGCCAGGACAGTAGTAATCCCCATGCCCACCTGCAGACTCTCTTTGAATTTGCCAAAGAAATGATGCGAGTGGTTGATGACTTTAACAACAACATGCTGTGGTTCAATTTTAAGCTGAGGATTGGCTTTAACCATGGCCCCCTGACAGCTGGGGTCATTGGCACCACCAAGCTCTTGTATGACATCTGGGGGGACACTGTGAACATAGCGAGCAGAATGGACACCACGGGAGTAGAGTGCCGAATCCAGGTGAGCGAGGAGAGTTACCGCATTCTTCACAAAATGGGCTACGACTTTGATTACCGGGGAACAGTCAACGTGAAGGGCAAAGGTCAGATGAAAACTTTCCTTTATCCCAAATGCATGGACAGTGGGGTAGTCCCCTATCATCAGTTGTCGATCTCTCCGGACATTCGGGTTCAAGTGGATGGCAGCATCGGGCGGTCTCCGACTGATGAGATCACCAACCTGGTGGCTTCGGTACAGAACTTGGACAAGATCCCCACCGACGCAGAGCTCAAAGATCTGCCCCGCTTCAAGAAGTTCCCAAAAGAGTTGGTTAAATTAGACAATCGCCTTCAGTTTGGTATAGCTGGTGAGAAGAGTGACTGTGAGGAGGCAGGGCCTGATGAGGCCAACGAACTGACCAAACTGAACAGCTCTAGGAGTGTATGATGCCCATTGATCCCTCTCCACAAGAAATCCGAGATCTCTCCAACTGGTCTTGTTCTGCAGGGAGGGGGCCGTCTGGCTCAGTTGTTACCCATTTTTATTTGGGCACCTGAATTGGAGAGGATTGTAGCCATGCAGGGCTCTGGCCCCTCTTTTTCACTCCCCTTGAAATCTCTCTTTTTTTTTTTTGCTGAGAGGAGACATCAAGTGCCTTCAGATAGACTCTGCTGGACTCCTATGTACTGAGGAGTATACGTATAGATTGGGGATCTGAACACATTCAAAGGATAAGCTGTGGTTATTTCATTTTTGTTTCTCATCAACAACTCTTCCTTTTGCACCTCCAAGAGGAATGAATAAGTAGGTGTGTGAGTGTGCACAGCACTCGCCTTTTATATTTAAACACAGACAATTGCATGTTTGCCTACCTTCTGTGATTGACACTAAGAGCTGGTAAGAGGAAATACTGTGGGGCAGGAAGGAATGGTAATTTTGGAAACTTGGAACAGGGAGGGACAAGAAGATTTCATTTGAAGTTACCTAAAGAAGCAGCTGAGCTGCTCTGTTTGCCAAAATCAGATTAAAGTGCCATTGTGCTTTTTGGAACATTGGGTTTGCCATTTCCCGGCAGATCAGTAGGGTGAGGGCAGGGTACAACCCATCTTTGCCCAGCCTGACACCAGCCCTGTTGGATGTGCTGCTGCAGCCAATTTTTGCCCTGGTTGTTCCACATTTTACCTTTGCCAGTATAGGGGGCAGGGATTAATACATGACTTGGGAGTGCCCCTCTTCCTTTTGTCATTTGGGGGCCCTGTTGATGCCAGTCAAAACATCAGTTTACCTTTCTGCATACAGAAACCAGCCTCTCAGCAAACTTGGCGTCAAAGGTGATAACTCCTGCAAAGGTATCTGGTATAAATCGTGCAGTATTTGAGTCATGGCTCTTGCTCTCACTGTGTGTGTCGCAAAATATCAGAACAAGTGGGAGTAAGATAAGCCCTTGACCATGTAGCCTTTTGCTGAGGAAGTGATACAATCTTTTATTTGGCACATCTTCCAAACAGTTTTGATTCCAGTATAGTGAAATACTGGCCCAGAGAAATCCAGTTATAAATCTGTAACATTAATATGCAGAATTGAATAGGGACTTGTCTACCTTTTTTCCAAGCTCAGAAAACCCAAAAAGGATCAAAGTGCTTTTAGGATTAGGCCAACCTTGGCTACTTTAAAAGTATAAAGTTTTGGTGTTTGGCAGAACTCTCCTTTGGCACTTCATCACAGCTTTATTTGATGACACCTAAAGGCGACACTGTTCCCTCTTTGGTGGGTCAGGTGACTTTGTAAAAATTAAAAAAAAGTATAATTTTTTTCCCCCCAGATGTCAAATTTGTGGTCCTAAAGGAGCTTTTCTGTGCCCCATCCTTTCTGTGGATGTACCGTAACAGCTGTGCCAAACAGCATTACAATATGCGAACCTCCTCCTGGCATAAGATGAGGGCTTTTCCCACGTGGGCAGAAGGCCCAGCAACTCAGGCTGACCTCCACGCTTTTCATTTAGGAAAATAATGCTGCGTGCTTCTCAAAGGGTAATTGCAAAGGCCTCCTTTTTTTTTCCTCTGAAGTACTGTATTAGCCTTCACTGTGGTTGCATTCCTAAACACAAGAGTTAGGAGTTACCGCCGGCATAGCTGATAGGCTGGCTTCTGAATAAAATGTATGTAGGAGTAGGCTGTGCTCCTTTTTATGCATCTTCTCCCCTCTCCTCCAGTTGAGCTTCCAGAAAGTTTGGTGTCTATTTATATTCCCCATAAATGAATAATCTGAAGTCGCCCTTTGAATTCTGGTTTCTGTTTGAACTGGTGTTTTCCCTATACTGAATGGATGGCGCTTAATGCCAAGCACCTGCAGGGGGAGAGCTGCTAGAAAGACCTTTTGGGGAGAGGGTGTCTTCCTTAAGGACCTGTAATAGCCAGCAATGCTAAGCCAGCTACTTTGATTTCATCCTGGGTTTCGCTCTCAGTATGGTATAGATAGATTGTTGATTGTCCTTGGGTTTCTTGCAACAAAGGGTCTGCAGAGTTAAATCTAACATTTCAAGAGAAGAGCAGTAGCACTGTCTGAACTTGGCCATTGCTGCTGAGAGTAGCTCTTTCCTGTGCCAAAGGTGCAGAAAGTTCTGAGTCTTTTTATTTACTTTAGTTCCAGACACCTATGATCTTGGAGGGGAACAGCTTGTCCATTTTATGGTGCTGAGGTTTGTAGTGTTCAGTCAGCAAAGTGCACCTGAAAAGTAAATTCAGCATGAAGTTGTGTACCTCCTCTTGAAGAGTGCAGCACATTATCTTGGAGCCTTGAGGGAGTGGGGCTCTATCTGTGGGCTCCCCAAGGCAAACATAGTAGCCCGCTGGCTTAAAGCATCTTGGATCCCATAAAGTGTTTCTTGCTGCAGCTGAATAAATGCTTCAGCCAAGGTTAGTGGGGCTTCCCAGTCCCTTCCCTGTCAAACTGGTCCAGAAGGCTAGTCAAGTTAAACATAGGCTTCCACGGACAGTTTTCATTCTAGAAGATGTTCATGTTGCCACTATCCATGAATAACTACATAGAAAAGAAAGGCTCCATTGGGAAATGGAGCAAATGTTGAACGTTTGAAACATGGCAAAAAAAAAAAAGGTTGTGGTGGTGGGTTCATCAAGGTAGTTCAGAAGTTTTATGTACGTGCTTTATTAAATACATATGTAAATAGTACTGCTCCAATACTGTGCACAGTGTTCTCTGTTTTGGTTTGGAACATTCTGGGATGAGAGAACTTGAAGAGTAGGTGGAAATCGCAGGCTAATAGAAGTGCACTGGTGTGCTAACAAAAGCAGCACATTCCTGAAGAGCAGAGATGAACTTGGGATGGGGTGGCATAAGGTGAAGTGAGGTGAGCAGAATCAAGCCTGGTGTGATACTGAACTCTGGTGCCTTTTTGTAACAAAAGATAGAACTGATCAGCTGGAGCTATAAACAGGCTGAATGAATGGTTAGGGCCGGATGTGGAAGAGGTACAGAGGAGACTTTGGTACAGAAGAGGACCAGGAAGGAGCTGAGGCTTCCTGGAAGGCTCCAACAAAGTAATTGTTCTGCCTTGCTTTTCTGAAAGTGAAGTTTTACTAAAATTCTTGGCACTTGCTGAAATTAGATTCAGTCTGACAGAAATCAAGGAAGTAAGTACCTGTTAAGGAGTGGATCAAGATAGTCAACCTCTTCTGCTGGCTATAATCTCTTAATTTTGATCAAAATCTTTGCTTTTGACTTCCAGGCAGATGATTTCCTCCTTACCTTTTTGGTTTGCTCCCTAGTAAATCTTGCAAAGAATAATGGTTTCTCTTTTTTCTCCAAAACTTGCATTTTCTACGGAGTACGTGCTAGTTTTGTAGCTGTCTGTGAATCACAATGGTGCCAGTGGGGCGCTGTGAAACAATACCTCTAGAAGAGGTTGCGGGACTGCTGACTTCTGTGGTAGGCTCCTGAGCATTGGGGGATTTGAGGGCTGCCCAAATGCATGTTGGTTCTTTGCTGCTGCTGCTGCCTCTTCGTGTGGCAGCAAGCTCCAAGTGTCCACTATCTTAGATCTCGGTAGCAAGATGCAAGATCATCTTACATTTTAGATCGGTATCTGCTTCGGGAGTTTTCTGGGGCTGTTCTGATCTTAGCAATAGGCCCTGGCAGATGCATTTTGCCCCGGAAACAGGTGATGCCCCTCCTCTGCCTTCATCTAAGTCTGGGCTATGCAACACCCTTGTTCTGTGCTCACTGTGCGCAGGGATGGATCTTCTGATGCTGTTGCCTGATGTGCTGAAATATTTAGGGGAAGAGCAAGAGATAAGCAATGAAACCTGAACCCCCTTCTTCATTGGGTTGAAAGGTGGCTGTTCTCAAACCATGTGCCTACATATAGTGAATTGGACTGTGGTGTACTCAGGCCAATTTCTTGGGTAAACACAACATGATAAATTAACTAATCCTCAGCTGGGTTGCAGGGTACATGGGGCTAAAATGCACGGGGTTGGTTGTGCCATATGAACATACCCTGGATTTCCTTTCGGGGCTTGTGGGCTGTTGGGCTTCCCTTGAATCAGGCTCTCCTAGGGAAGGGCCTCTGAGTAGGCCTCGGCTCAGCCCTGCTGGGCATGTCCTGAGCAATTGGGTTGATTTTTAAAATATGTTTTTGTGCGAGTCGTCCTTGGCACGGCCTTGTCTTCTCTCAAGCCACTCCTGTGCTCGGGTGCTCCAGAAGTGCCAGGGGTTAGCTCTCCCCAACTGCTGGAATGGGGAGAGCGGTAACCAGGCCTGGGGGCTGGGAGTATGCTGCTGGGAGTAGGCCTGGCTGAGACCTGACAGCAGAAGGTGAAATGCTGCAAGATGAATGGCGAAGGCCAATAGATAGCTTTCCTTGTTACTTTGGCAATGTAATCAATTCTCTATTAAACTCTTTTCTGTATTGGATATGCTTTTGTGCCGTCTTAAATGTGAAAACCGGACCACTTGCAGGCCTGGCTTGAGCACATGCAAGACCAGGTGCATACTGTGGGGGCGTGGCAGGCGCTAATCCCGCTGGGGCTGGGTGAGGGGCTCCAGGGCTGAGAGGCTCCCGCTCAGCATCACCCGGGCTCTCTAGGAGGCCGAGCCGAGCCGAGCCTGGGGTGCTGCGGGATGGGCACAGAGCAAGGGTGCGGGGGAGGCGCCTTGGCCACAACCCGCTCCGGAGCCCTGGGCTAGGCGGGAGGGGCGACTTTGTGGGTCATTTAAGGGGTGACGGAGAGCCGCCCGGGAGTAAAAGTCCCGTTTGAGCCCTTCTCCACGATCTTCTATGGAGGGGCGTTTCGTTCGTGGGTCCTGATAACCCTCCTGTAGGGCGAGCCAGCATTCCTCCCAATTCGCGATCGCTCGGGGAGGCCCTTATTTCTGGCGGTTCTGTGCAAGGGCCACGCCAGTCCCCGGCGGCGGCGGCGGCGGCGGGTCCCGTGTCGGCCGCGGTCCACGGCAGCGGGCTGGAGCGGAGAGGGAGGCGAGCTCTCCAGCCCGAGCAGGATACAGGGGGCGGGCCGTCCGTCCAGGGGCACGCGAGCGGCCGGCTGTACTCGGCCCTCCGGCTGGCCCTCTCTCTGCTCAGGGACTCGAGGCGGCGCGGCCGCACTTGCGCCGAAGCCCTTCCTCGGAAAGGCGTCCCCGCCGGGCTCGGCACCTGCGCGCCTCCCAGCGGCGAGCCGCCCTCCCTGGCCCGGCGGAGCCCGAGGACTGTCCGTTCGCGCCGGCCTCCGCACGGCTGCTGCTGGTGACCCCGGTG